CCAGAAATGGCTAAAACGGAGACTACAATGTCCCTGGTCCTCCTCTGGCTTCTCTTTCTTCTTCTATGGCTTTCATGAATATGTTTATTTGATCTTCAGTTACCCAGGGGAGGTTTGGGAACACAGTGATAAATGGAGACAACACTACAGAGACCAAAAATACTTCCAAAGATCCCGTCCCTCACGCGAGGAGGCTCAGGGAGGAGGAATGGGGTCCCCAGTTTGCTGACAGCCTCTCCTGGGAATGGAAGTGCTATTTTCTCAAAGAACTTCATCTGCTCTGGTTGCCATGTGCCAGTTCCTCAGCAGAGTGGGGATTCCTGACTTTATTTTTAAGTACAGACTCCAATAATAGGCTGAGTAATTGCATATCTTCCAGAGGCTTTATTATACATGCACCAACATATTGAACTTTTAGAACCCATATTATCTTCCCGTAAACATATGTTGGAAGCCTTAAATTTCCAGCATTATGTGTAGTGGCAATGAGTATTTGGCTTTTTGTTCCCTCTCAAGGTATCTTGAGTGAAGCATAAATGGTAAACCAGAAATGGTAACGCAGGGTAACAATTTCTCCACGATTTGTCTGTGCTCTTGTGTAGGTTCATAAGCTCCCAAACCAGCACTAAGAGAAGCATTCAAGTCACAGCCCAGCTTCGGGAGAATACCTTCCCCCAGGGCCTCGAGGTGGAATAACCCATACTGATGGGGCCCATAACTATTCCTGGGAAGGGGATGGAGACACACAACAGATCTTTACCTGCCAGGATGGGGACTGGGGAAATGAATGTCATCCACACCTAGATGCAGAAATACTTTGCCATTTGTCCCATCCCGCTGTGATTACAGACAGGTGAGTCCCATAGGAGAAAAGGGGAGAAGGCATTGTTCTGGGATACTTGACCCACAGGGGTAAAGATGCAGGAAGAGTGCATCTTTACATGATTTAGTTATGAAGAAAGCTTGTGATGAGCGGACACACCCATACTGGTTAATACTTCATTCAATATAAAAATTTCCCCCATCCAGAACATGACTCATGGTGAAAAAGAATTGTCAGAAATATCAGCTGGATAGCAAACTGTACCGTGGGCTGTGTTTCCACAATCACTTCAGCAATGTAGCAATGAAAACTGGAAGGATAGGTTCAAAGGCCCGAGTTCAAATCCTGACTCCAGTACTCCTCTCCTGGTGTGTCCATGAGAAAATTTCAGTTCCACGCTTTCTTCTGTGATAAAGCAGCGATAATACCCGAACCTCCTTCATGTGTGACACAGGGAAGATAAAGATCTTACGACGGTACCCAGACTTCACTGACCAGAACTAACATTCAGAGTCAGGGGTGCTTTTGTGCTCCTCTCCTCCTCTCCCAGATGTTGTGTGGTCCGTCTTATTACTTCATGCGAGGAAGACAGGACAGAATACTGACTAGCTAACCAACACCAAGATGTGAGATAGTTTCTCTTCTGCACATCAAAATCTAGAAGCCGTGTTCCTAGTTATGAACGTTTAGGAGACAAGCAGAAAGGCGTGGCTGTGTCACCTCAGAGTGGCACTCACCTGGCAGACTAAATGGGTATCTGATCAAGGAAAAAGAAGTCAGCGAAACACAACTAATTGCTAAAAGCTCCCGGACGTCGATCTGTATTCAGTTCCATTGTGAGTCTGTTGTGGAAAGGAAGGGAGCAATAGCAAAGCGTGAGACGGGGCTCTCTCTGTCCTTGGCCGTGTGGGAGCCCAGGCTCAAGGCTCTTTCAGTGCTTGCATCACCTTTGCAAACATGGTGTGGAGTGAATGGGTCTCATGGGCTCCTCTAACTCTGCATCCCGGTTGAATCTCAGGAAGCCCAGAGAGTCTTGCAGGTTCACATAGGGTCAGGGCAGAGTCCTCCCAGGTAGAGCATGTCCATGCAAGCCAGGAGGGGCTGCGGGCAGGTATGCACCCAGTCTTGGATGTGGGGTTGGCATGGGCTCCAAAGCACTGGAAACTTCCTGTTCTGGGTGTTAACTTTAGTTACCACAGCCAGACAGTGCTGCCAGTGGTGTGGAAGGAAAAATTGCTGTAGCCAGCTGTGCTGTTCACAGTCGGATGGATTCTGGGTAGCTCCAAGTGGTGATGGAGCCAGCAGCCTGTTGTAGCCAAGGACAGGATGATGGATGAGCTACACACTGTGTCCAAGTAGAGAGAATGGCAGGAGTTCACTTCAGGGTTGTTAAAATGCTAATCTGGGGGAGTTAACAAAAGCCTAACAGAAGAGAAAAGGTTGAGAAGTAAGTACACCTCATGTGGTATCCTCGAGGACCCAAACGCAATCCAATCGCCCTTGGGTCCTTTAAGGGTTGTTTTTCCAAAAGTAAGAAGCCTCAGTATTTTCCTGCCGGGAAAAATGGAAGCAGTCTCAACACTGCTGTGGTCAGGGTCCGAGGGGGAAAAAAGCCAACAACAACCGCCTCATCTGAAAAGTGGCACGGCATGCTTAATAGAGTTATGCGATTTTTATTCTCACCATGTGGCATGGGGATAAATGAAAGCAGCCCCCCTCCCGGAGGAAGCTGGCAGCTGTTCACGGAACCATTGGCATTCTAAGACAGTGGCTTTGGTAGACTTTCACACCAAGCCTCGGTTCACATAAGACCCAGAAATCACCCATCTCCCACTTCATGGCAGACTCAATATACAAACTCCACGAACAATCTAGGGCACCATCTTTAATCTTAAAAGCAGGAAGACTGGACCAGGGTAAATATTTGGTGAAAACAGTCTCACTTTAAACTCTCTACGATTAAATAACACACTGCAAAACAAAGATGTGAGGAGGTTGGATGTCTTGCCATGTGATCTGTGTTGCTACTCTGTTTCTTTTTATTTTTGTGGGAGTTGAAGGTACAAAACCATGTCTTGCCCACCGGGGCTTCAATGACTGACCACCATAGCTCCTGTCAAAGGACAGGTATTCAATAAATACTGCCTGGTTGGCATACCCCAGTTGCCTCTTGCTTCCTCTAGAAGTGAATCTAGAATGTGCAAACTTAAAGCCGATTAATTGAACTAAAAGACAATATTCTATCTTACAGTATACTAAGGAAGGCGTTCACCTCCCGTGGTTACACTAATAATGGTTAGGCATGCAGCCAGGCTCCTAGCTCTCCATAAAATGCATCAGAAGAGTGAAACATGACTCTATTTCAGATGCATTTTTCACTCTTTGTATCTTAGTGAAACTCACACACAAAAACAATGACTAAGCTAATTACCACAGCTCATTAGGATAGGGGAGCAAGAAGTGAAGACCTTCTCCAGTTTCACCAGGTCCTTAACCACCACGGGCCATCTCTGTGAATCAAAACTCTTGATTTCTGTTTCCTTCCCTGCAGCCAAAGGAGCCACCACCCGAGCCAGGAAGCCCACTCACCCAGACACAGTCACGGATCGAGCCCTCTGCAGCCAGCAGTGGACCGAAGAGGATATGTAAACTGCTCGCACTCTAAGGACTGGCAGATTTGCACAACTGCCATCTTTCAAATCCATCAAACCAGGGAGACAGGACCAGATGGCGTTATTAGAGGGCACCAAGAATTTTTTTTAAGGAGGGCAAAACGCCCACGAGTCTAAATCAAACTCAAGTTAACCAGCTGTCTGGCATCAGGGAAGTCACAGTAATCCTGGCACACTCTCCTGCCTCACAGATACGCTACTCCAAACAGGTTATCCAGGTAGCATCCCTAGCAGTACTGAGTTTAGGGAGCAGTTCTGTAGCACCCAGGGAGAGATGGTAGCAGGTTGCTAACCTAACAAATGGGTCCAGGAAAGACCCACATTGTGGGTCTTCTACATCACTCTCTTTGGAGACCACATTCTAGAGACCTAAACAAAAACAGAAACACTAACTATAAAAAACAACTCAGCTGGGGGTGAGCTACAGTTTATTAATCCTAAAATGTTTAGGTTCATGGCAATATAGACCAAATCATGGAGCTTATCTGGCCATTTCTATTTACCCAAGCCTGAGTAAATGTTTGTGTAATACCCACCTGCTTGACAGAATATGCCTGCCACTCACCACTTTAAACATGACTATACACAACTTAATGACCTCAGTTAGGACCCCTATGGTAGGAGGGCAAAGGCTTTTTAACAGCATGAATAAACCAGCATCAAAACCTATTGTTATAAATCCCTGAAAGGACAGTAAAATCCTCCCTGGAGTTGTCTGAGATAAGATTTCACAATACCATTAAAAAGAAAAGAAAAGAAAAGCCTTGGAAATTTGCCCCCAAAAGGAAAACGTCTCCCATTCTGACGAACAGGGCCAGAGAACAAACCAGTTTAGGAGAATGTTAAACCCTTCCCCAGGGCTTCGTTCTTGAAATCAACAAAAAGAACCCACTTTATTACCCCTAAATATTAAGCAGACAGAAAGACAACATTAAAAACCACAACGCCGTCCTCTTCTACTGCAGACCTAAATTCTCACTAGCCAGAAGTTAGAGGGGAGATTGCCCGGGACAATTTCCCCCGAGTAAGCGGAAACAATATGGTTATTTTTAAGGGAAAGAGGCCACCGCAGTGGCAGATCCAATTACGGTTTACAAAGTCTACCAAGGAATCCATAATAATGATCCCGTCCCCTGGGTGAGGCTGGCCAGGGGCTGGGATACCAGAATCCGAGCGCAGCAGCCTTGAGCTGCTCTAAGCTGGAATGCTAAGGCTGCCACTGCCCCAGCTCCATGACGTTTAGCTTTTGTACAAGTCCAGGATTTCAACAATCACCGGACAGCCAGGGTCCTGGTCTGCACTGAGCAGAATTTCTCAAACCCCATTTCTCGTCCACACCTCCAAGTCCTTTTTATGACCTTTTCTTTCAAGCCAAGAGTTCTCCGTGACATCCAGGGGAACCTCTGAGCCCTTCCAAATCACCCGAGGCGGACTGCTGTGCCCTTTTCTGCAGAACACAGACAAACACCCCCGCTGTCAAGACTGGAAATGAAAAGTTTCCCTACCTTCGCGGAACGTCACCATGGCCCCTCGCGCCGCGGCTCCTTCCCGGCTGCAAGAAGCTGCTGGCCGCGCCGGAGAAGGGGCTCAAGCGGCATCGACTGTTCCTGATTTGTTTCCATCCATAATTGATGGGGAGATGAGAGCGTCACACGTCTCCGCGCGCAGCTCTTGCCGCCTGGCGGAGACCCTGTCCAAGCAGCTTCCGCAACGCATTTGCAGCCGGAGAACAAAGCGCGGAAAGTTGCCGGGGAGAGTGGCCCAGAGGAGGATCCGGCGCCCGGAGAGAGGCCGGCGGCTCGGGCCGCCGCAGGGGAGGGGACGAAGGAGGGTGGGAAGAGGTGGTCCTCTTCGGAGACCGGGACGCGGGGCGGGGTGGACCCGGCGCCCAGCGCCCGCCCCCGCCAGCAGGCGCCGCTCCGCCCCAGGCGCACGGGAGGGCAATGCCCCCGCGTCCCCGGTGCGCTCCGGAGCCCCAGGCTGCAGGGGGCGTCCGGGCTGCAGCGGAATCGCGCGCCCCAGCTCAGCCTAGAGACGCCGCGCAGCCCGGGTCTCCTATCCAGTGTACCCTGCCTGGCCAGAAACTTTCCCTCGCTCCCCCTCCGCTTTTCCTCCCTCGAGGAGGAGAGGGCACACGGAGCAGGGCCCCTCCCCCCAAGCCGCTAGCCTAGCCAGTGTGGACAGCTCCGCGCGCCCCTCTCCGCGCGCCCTGGGCACGGCTGGCAAGAGAGCTGCTCGGAGAGGAGATCGACTCCCCGGTGACACGACAACGCACACACACGAATACACTGCCACACGCGCGCGCACACACGCTACACGGCGCTGCCACCTCTGGGGCTCGGCGCCGACCCCCGTGGTGCAACCAAACCCTGACCCAAACGTGTAGAAGGCAGTCTCACCTCATGGGTGGGAGAAGGCTGGCGACAAATAAAAAGCTTGACACGATCAAGGGAAAAAGAAAATCGAGACACCATGGAGAAACAGATCTCCCTCCGTCGCCGCCTTCGGTCTCGGTTTCCTCGCTCGAGCCTGGAACTCGCCACCCCCGAACCTCGCAGCGACAGCGGGACGGAGCTGGAGCCGAGCGAGCCGCCTCGCGGCAAATGGTGTAATTCGATCCATCTCCGAGTCAATCCATCAGCCCTCGGAGCCTGGCTTCCTCCGCGCCCTCGCCAGCGCGCCGCGCGGTCCCACCCCCGGCGCGCTCGCCGGGTGTGTGGAGCCCCCGCGCGGCGCCGCGGCGACCCAGGCTCCGAGCCTCGCGGATACCGGGCCCCGCCGGGCCCAGCCGAGCCCCGCGGACGCCGGGCCCGCGCCCTCCTCCTGCCTCCACCGAGGGGCTGCTCCTTCCTGCCCACAGCTCCGGCGCCGCGCGGGAGCTCTGCGCCGCACCCGCCGCAGCCTGAGAAGCCGCCTCCTCCTTCCCTCCGCCTGCCCCTCACTTCTTTTGGGGCTGTCCCCAGGCAGCCAGAGGACGGATCTTTGCAGCCCGGCGGAGCGGAGGGCGCAGTGGTTCCCTCAAGTTCTGCCTGAGTTTTCTAGTCTTTAAGATTTATTTTTAAGCACATCCTGCAAACCCGCCCCCCTCAGGACACCACCTCCCCACACGTATGCACACACACACACACACACACACACACACACACAACACACACACACGTACACACACACACGCACGCACACGCACAACACACTCCCCAATTTCTCTTTATAACCACTAAGCAAAACATCTGGGAAGAGGCAATCAAACATTGCTTTATCTTTATAAAATACAGAAATTGCCTACTAAAAATCCCATTTCTACTTTGAATGAAAGCCATTCAGTACAGGATAATTTTGCAGGCTAATGAGCCGGTATTACAGGCAAGTGTTTCATGTAATACGTTGTGGGAGAAAAAAAGAAAAAGAAAAAGAAAATGTCCTTGGAGTGACACCATTTAAAATTTGACTGTCATGAATGAAAGGGGGGGGGGAGAAGTCGGATATCCCCCCAAAAGGGGGGTCTTCATCCAAATTTCCTTTTCAAGAATGGGCTGTTTATTAATATCCGGTTGAATTATGTATCACTGAGGGGTCTGAATGACTGGGGCGAACCGGGTTCCCCTGTTTAAAGAAAAAGCAAAGCGCTTTTCTGGAGAACTTTTAATATGTCCTTAAGTGTGGTTAACTGCGTTGACAGACAAGAGAAAGAGGAGGGAAGCCGATTTTTCCTTTTCTTGATGCTTCTTGCTCTCTGCAAACAGTTACGTGTTTACAGTTAGTTGTTTCTGGCAGTTCTCTGACAATGTTGAAAAGAAACTGGGGGGGGGGGGGACATCCTAAGTCCTGCTGCGGAGCCATCCGGAGACCCGTTTCCTGGCTGCCTCACACTGTAGCCCAGAGGAAGGAGGGCAGACGAGGGGGAGTCATTTAAATATAAACCCTCGTCCTGCTGTTTTTTCTGTTGCAAGAAAAGGGTAGGGGGGGGAAAGCACCACTTTGGCAGCCCAGCCTGTGATTATTCTGCGGAGGTCTTTAGTGGAGAGGCTGGGGTGGGGGTGTTTTGTGGCTGTGCTGGGCTCTGACCTCTCCGTAGGTTACTTGGCAATCAGGGGCCTCCCTAGCCAACTTCTGACCCAGGAAAGTTGCGCCTCTTTGTGGGCGTCTGCGGTGCCCCTGTCCTCCCCTTCAAGGCAGCAGGCAGAGCCCAGCGCAGGCTAAGGACTCTGTGAGCTGAATGAAGATGAGAAGAGACGGTCACGCGGGCTCCGGAGGACTCATCCCCACCCACCTGAAGACAGAAAGCTGACTGATGCCTGAGCTCCTGTCTGCAGCGGCACCAAAGGCAAAAACAAAACAATGCAAACAAACAAACAAAAGCCCAAAAACTTTAGTCCTCTAGATGCTTGAATTGTCTGCTGTAATTCCATAACAACTAACTTTACAGAGCGCAGTGCCCTGAGAGCTAGGAATAAAAACTGTAGGTTGCAGAAGTGTCCATTGCCAGGTCGCTGCCAGCCATGGATAAGAGAGACATGCTTTCAGTCTCAAGATGAGCGAGGACCTCCACATCAGGCCTTGGGTCTGGTCTGCTGGAGGAAGAGACCAGGAGCTCACACAGAAAGAAAGGTGTTCTTCACATTGGGATGCAGATCAAAATACTGTCCCCAGGCATCTGCCTTGTTTCTGGTTTCTAGAGAGAATCTTGATGGCAGGAGGATGATTTCATTTGGACATTTATGGAAAGAAGTCTAAGGATTGTCCCCTGCTCACCTGTGTGCTCAATCAGGAAGGGTTGCTTTTTTCCCCTATGATGAATCTCCAGAGGGATCAGTGTTGTGTGCGCAGTGCTTAGCAGGTTATACAGAACGAATGAATGGAGTATCTGGCTGTTTTCATACTCAGAAAGAAAAACTTACAAGCTCAACACGTTCCACGTGGTCAATGATTATGCTTTAGTATGATGTGTATAATAAGTATTAGGCTTGTTTCGCTATTTAGTTTTAAGTTTAGAAAGCCATCTGGATATTACAGAAAATCTTTGTGTATAATTGTCCATAAAAGTTACAACCAGAAAGACCAACTCCTTAACTTAGTTATTAACCAAGATGGATGTGCCAACTCTGTTCTAAGCATTTGTAGGTACCACGATTATTGTCATTGTCATAACTGTTCAAGTGACCTGGTTAATGCCACACATGTAGCCACTAACTATGATTGTACCATGCCCCTTATAGAGTGGTAATCGTAGTAAACAGCTAGGTCATAGTGATTAGAGAACTCTCTAGAGTGTTATTATACCTGGAGTCAAAGCCTCTCCCTCTTCCTGGATTTGTGCCCTGGGATAATTTATTTAACCACTCTGGGCTTCGGTTTTCTCATCTGTAAAACAGGAATGGTGAGAATAATGTTTCAAATGGATTTTGTGGAGACTGAGTATGAGAACACATATGTAAAGGGTTTAGCATCTTTCCTAGAATACAGCGAGCCAGAATAAATGTTAACCGACATTGTTTTTGAGGGGGGGAAGGCAGTGTGATGATGTTCGTCTCCTATTGAACTGGATTAGAAACTTAGGCCAAGTTCACACAAGATGTGTCCCGTACAGTTCCTCCAGAGGTGAGCGGTAAAATTTCAGTCTGTCCTCCTCCTTCTTCCTGATCTGAATGAGCACGTCTGTTAATTCAAGTACACATGCCTGGCTGTCCAGTTGATGGGGAAAAACCGTTTTGCATGAATTTTAATGAATAACATAGTTTAGGATGTAGGTTTTCATGTTCCAAAATGAGAAGATGAAGATACCAGAATTTCAAAGGTAGCTGCAGCTTTGACGGTGACTTCAATTTGGAATGCACACACGGTGTTCCTTATATTCGCACATTCTAGAAAGTGCTTTTGTGGCAGGGGATTGCTTTCAAAACTAATCGGCATGCTCCACGACATGATAAATCATTAATAATACAGACCCGAATCTCGGCATCTGCATAAGCACAGCTGGCCTCCCTGTGTCAATACCGCGCATATGAAAGTGACTGTGCCAAGATATTTCACTTTAATGAAAAATATTTATCATGGTAAATCTTAAACCTCAACGTTTTACTGACATAATTCATTTCTATTACTATGAACTATGATGCTGTACTGCAGTAGCTATGCTTGTGTTTGGAGTGATAAAAATGTGCATTTTTAGTCATTTTGACTACCTTAGCATGAATAATTTTTGTGGTTCACTCTGAGCAAAGGGAAAGCATCATGCATTCGTGGAAATAATAAATCAAATACTTATCTAATTCTGCTAATGACTTCATAGGTGCCACTGTGCGGACCTGAATGCTCAAGTCAAATAAAAAGAATCAGGCTTTTTAAAAAAACCCATAACCAAAAAAACAGTTATTTCCACAAGTAAGATGAACAGCACATAATTTTTAGTAATATTAGCTCTTTTGAACACAGCCAAGTGATAATGCAGACTATCACCATTTTATCAGTGATCTTTTGAGCAAACTGACGCAGAATAAACTTTTTTTTGGAGAGAGGATAAGACATCAAGCCAAAAATTCAGTCCCAGTCGCTTAACTGTGCTACTATGCACTTTGGAAAAGAATAGTTTGGATTCTGGAATGCCACCTTATATTCCTGCAGAAAAGAAGCTCACACTACATTTCTGATGAACTTCTTTCCATGTGTTTATGGAAACCAAGTCTTTGATCTTGAGAAATGGGGGTTGAACAACACGTGTTAAATGTTAGAGTGGCTTAATGAAGGAGAAAGATAATGAAAAGAAGCAAATGCAGTAAAGCATTGAAAAGTGT